TCCTGAGGTCGCAGGTTCCGTTGTCATATTCCTCAAACCATTAGGAACTTTTCCCCTGATCTTCAACCGAAATCCAGCATCCTTATGCTTGAGCCCGTTGGGGTGTGTCCTGCCCTCAATTCCCGGGGAAAGGGTGGAAAGGGGGCCTCGGGAGCTCCTTGGGTTGTTGGACAAGCTTTCCATGCACTTGGCAGAAAGGGGCGCTGCTGGAGGAGGGCTCAGGAAACCAGCCAGACTGGCAAAACGTCAGGAAGAACAACCTTCAGAACACGGCCAAAAGCCCGAAAAACCCACAACAACATTAGATCCCGGCCGTGAAAGCCTTCGCGAATATCTGTTCCATTACTGTTATGGACTAGGAATAAGATTTCTTTATTCCTTTTTTCTCAGGTAAAGAACACAACAGTAACAACAAACAGGAAGGAACTGAGTTGGATAAAGGAAAAAAGACGTTTGGAAATCAAAGAAGACCAAAAACAGGCACCAGAGAAGTTCCTGGATCAAAATGACCAAAACAGGGGAGAGACCATATAAATGTATGGAATGTGGAAAGAGTTTCACTCGGAGTGGACACTTAACTACACACCAGAGGATCCACACTGGCGAGAAACCATATAAGTGCACGGAATGTGGCAAGAGCTTCAGCACCAGTGGATCATATAGAAACCATCAAAGAATCCATACAGGGGAGAAACCATTCAAGTGCATGGATTGTGGAAAGAGCTTCAGTCAGAGGGGGTCCCTACATCGACATCAAAGGATTCACACAGGGGAGAACCCCTTTAAATACCTAGAATGTGACATGACCTTCAGTCACAGTGGAGCTCTACGTGAACAGCAAAGGATCCACACAGGTGAGAAACCCTTTACGTGTGAGGAATGTGGAAAGAGCTTCAGCGACAGTGGATCATATAGAAACCACCAAAGAATCCATACAGGGGAGAAACCGTTTAAGTGCATGGAATGTGGAAAGAGCTTCAGTCAGAGCAGTCATTTAAAATTACATCAAACAATCCACACAAGGGAGAAACCCTTTAAATGCCTAGAATGTGGGACGAGCTTCCGTCACAGTAGAAATCTACGTTCACATCACAGAATCCACACTGGGGAGACACCCTATAAATGCATGGAGTGTGGAAAGAGCTTCAGTCAGAGCAGTAACTTGAGTAGACACCAAAGAATCCACACTGGGGAGAAACCATATGAATGCATGGAATGTGGAAAGAGCTACATCAACAGTGGATCATATAGAAACCACCAAAGAATCCATACAGGGGAGAAACCGTTTAAGTGCATGGAATGTGGAAAGAGCTTCAGTCAGAGTAGTCATTTAAAATTACATCCAAGGATCCACACAAGGGAGAAACCCTTTAAATGCCTAGAATGTGGGACGAGCTTCCGTCACAGTAGAAATCTACGTTCACATCGCAGAATCCACACTGGGGAGACACCCTATAAATGCATGGACTGTGGAAAGAGCTTCAGTCAGAGTAGTCATTTAAAATTACATCCAAGGATCCACACAAGGGAGAAACCCTTTAAATGCCTAGAATGTGGGACGAGCTTCCGTCACAGTAGAAATCTACGTTCACATCGCAGAATCCACACTGGGGAGACACCCTATAAATGCATGGACTGTGGAAAGAGCTTCAGTCAGAGTAGTCATTTAAAATTACATCCAAGGATCCACACAAGGGAGAAACCCTTTAAATGCCTAGAATGTGGGACGAGCTTCCGTCACAGTAGAAATCTACGTTCACATCGCAGAATCCACACTGGGGAGACACCCTATAAATGCATGGAGTGTGGAAAGAGCTTCTACCGGAGTGACCATCTACATTCCCATCAAAGGAGCCACACCAAATGAGAAGCCTCATAAATGCATGGAATATGGGTAGACCTTCAGCTGCCTTGAAGTTCAGGGCTTTATGGTTGTGAAATAACAAACATGTTTATTCGTTTATATTCATGTGCAGTAAGGCAGGTTATGAGAGTGGGGAGGGTCCTTTCCTGAGAAGCATTGCTTTTGGCCTCCCTGGTGTAACCCACTTGGAACAGTCCAGTCCTAAAAGACAGAGGCTAGGTCACCTCACTACTTTTGGTGGTGGTGGGGAGATGAGGTTGGGAAGGGAAGGGGGGATGGGTGGTAGGTAGTGGAGGAGGGGAGAGGGAGGGAATGGGGCAAAGTTGGGGGAGATGATATAGAAAATTCTTTTTTATAAGTTTCCAGTATAAGTACTTAATATTCTCTTAATATTTTTCTCATGAATAGAATATTGATAATCTAGATAGTTGTTTAGAGAAAAATGTTACATTGTTCAATATAAAGTACAACTCTCGTATCAGCGAGATTGTTATCCACCATTTCACTTATCTGCTCTCTGAAATTATTAAAAACATTAAAAGAAAAATCCCTGAAGTACCTCTTTCTATAATGCAATTTTCAGAACTGGCCAATAGAGGGGTTTCCCTCCAAATATAGACCTAGTACTTTAGAAAGGTTTTTTGTGTAAAATATGTTTTGCCCTGCCTTTCTTCTTAAAAAGGACCCAGGGTAGCTTACACCATTTTTTTAAAATGGTATTTAAAGCTGAGAACTGTGAGTATATTTATGGAAAAAGGGATGAAAGGAATAGAAGTGTAAAAAAATTATAAACAATAGCAAAACACATTCAATGCAGGAAGGTACAACATTTTGAATTCTGCCCAGAAATGGTTGAGCAGCCTCTGGAGCCGTAACAGGATTTCTGTGTGTGGTTTATTTCTTGCATTCCGGACCCTTTCCGGAGGCAGTCCCAGATAGAGTGTAACACCAGAACACGATCAGAGGATGGAGGTATAACACTTAAGAGTCAATTTGCTGGAATGTGACTAAGGGATGTGTCCGCGTAGCCAGACCGGACCCCGCCAGGAGGAGGCGCTGCTGGTGCCCTCGTTTTAAGGCTGCAAAGGCTCTCCTGGCCACTGCGAGAATCCTGGACATCCGGAGTTCGAGACTCATCCAAGAGGAAGTCCCGGCTTCACAGCTGGGTTTTTACACAGGATCGCTCTCAAACCACCCTCGAAATATAGGGCATGGCTCTGCCATGGCGGAAAACATGGGTCGGGTGAAGGGGATCTACAGGAATCCATGCGGTTTTGATGGAAGATCATTCCCCCAACTGCTATCCATGAGGTCCATGAGGCTGCTACCCTGGAGGTCCATGAGAACAAGGCATGGGGAGGGGGGGGGTCGCCCAGCCACAGGGCTCTCCAGTGGTGCAAAAACATGGATCTCCCCCCCCTCATCGATTTCGAAGCAGGATCCTCCCGAGC